CAAACAACACGATGCTGTGTGGCGCTATGTGGAAAATCCTGCTGAAAAACTCTCTTTTTGACAGACGGAGCTTTTAATTTCAGTTATAAACTTAAAGGCACGGCCAGATTTTCTGCGCACCTAAGCCCTGAGCTAATCCTCACCAAGATCTTATCACCTGTGAGCCAAGAAACAATCCTGGTGAGTCCTCTGTGCTGCTGTAGTCAGGAATGCACGAATATAATTAACAGAGGGAAGTTATTTCTGAAGCGATAATCGACTGGATGTTACAAAATTGAGAAATCTTTGGATGCTGCAGCCAGAGCCGGCACCATGGATGCATATTTTTTTTATGACTGCGTAAGTGGAAGTGAGTTGTGTAAACTGTTGTTCATTGTTCTGAGGAGATTTTGCTTGTTCATGATGCTGTGGTGTAAGAAGAGTCAACGTGAGAAAAACGTGCAGGTAATATTACGTGAAGTGAGCTGATGTTCGGCTGATCCAGTTTCATTTTTTTTTTTGCTTCAGGGCACCAAGTGTTGTTTGAGGCAAACGGAGTCAGAGCTGTGGCCTAAAAAACTCTTCATCCATCATCTTCAAGAACTAAAAAAAATGAAGCCCAGTTGTTTTTTTAAGCTCAAGCTCTCTGAATTACAACATGAGAGTTGACCTAGAATCTACAATGACAGACTTTTGATTCCGGGCCTATTAAATCTTTTATTGTGGAAAAACTGTGCCAACACATCGTTGAGTGGGGACAACTAAAGAGGTTCTCTGACTCTAAAGCATTGTTTGAAACAGGAAAATCAGGTATTTGTTTTGCTGTTTTACTTTATTTTCCTTTCAGCCGACTAAAAAATGACTAAAAAAGACACCTTGACATCATCCCAAACCCTTGACACTATATAATGCACCAGCAGCACAATGCTGACCTCTAATTACACGCCAATCATTCAGAATGTAAAGAAAACAACAGCTACACAATAAAAATGATTTACATTTCAGCTTCTCCACCTTTTTTTAATAAAAAAAAACATTCCTTGGCAAAGGATTGAATTTTACTCTACATCCTTGTGCTTGCAAACTCTTTTTTTGTTTTATTTGTTTTTTTTAAAAATCTTTCCTACTTCCTCGTTCGCAGCTTTTCTTTAAACTTTTTAATTGAAAAACTGCCTCTATCTACATTATGGGGATGCCTTTGTGTTGCCTTCTGGCTTCTGTCTCTTCTTCTACAGTTACAGGGCAACACCTGATCTCACTCTCCACACAGGCATGTTAATCCAAGAGCAAGGCTGTAAACACATTTTGAGACAAGAAACCTCTGACACCCTAAATGACTTCATTGCAGGAATGGATACAAAATATTTAGCTAGCATACCGTTCAGCATGTTCTACAGCTCTGGGTGGGCCCACTTATAAACATCAGTACATCAGTGTTATTGAATCCATACACTTGTTTGGATGGCTCGTTGTTCCGATCTGCCCCAAGGCTGAAGCACGTTCTGATCTTTTTGGTACATAGAGATTATATCTGTTGAGTGTCATCACTGAAGAACGCTGTTGGCTTATTAGAAGACTAAACACGTGCACATCTGTGTAGCTAGCACCTGTATTTCATCATTCAATGCAAACTCACACTGATGCAGAATCATAAATCAACCTAGAGGTCACAGGCGGCTTTCCGCTGCTGGAACTCGGGGCAGTGTGGCAGAAGTGTACAGGAGTTGCCCCCTGATTGGACCCATTCAGAGGTTTTTGTTTGCACTGGGACACAACAGCTTTGACCATGTGGTGAACTCCAAGGGTATCACAACAGCAGCGACAAATAGTAATTACTGGAGATAACTTGAATTCTTTGAGGGCGTAGGAGCTAGAACAATGGAACGTTTGTTGTGTTAGCCTACTTGTAAAGCGAATGTCATGTTGTGACTGATGTTACAGGAGAGAAGACGGTTTCTCAACAAGGACATGCAGACCCAATTCCATGTTTGATCACCCCAGCAGTTTTTTCAGGGTCATTCAAGCACCTGTCATGGTGGCTCAAAAACAGCCTAGAAGAGGTCCTACAGGGCTTGGAACATGCATAAAAGCCTTAAAATGGCCCGCAAACTTCTGCACTGAAAAATGTCTTAATGTGACCACCAAAAGCATGGACCACCTTCTTACAGTCTGATAACAAATGCTGCAAGTGGACCAAGTTCACTGCTGATCTCAGCACAGGATAACTGGAGAATCACTCGATAGACCAAAAACAACCCCACATATCTTACAGCGTTGTAACATAAATCATAACAGCACACAGATATTCCAAAAGTACACAATGAGTATACATATGTAAAATAAACATATGTGGTAATCCGCTCTGTTGACATCCTCTGTGTTTTCCAGTTCAGTCTGTTGTTGTGAGTCACGTGTGCCATTTTACGCCATAGTACCGCAACCATTGATGCTCTCACGTGTGCATCTCACAAGCTGTCCACAAGTAAGCCATGTGATCATATGTATATGTAGACTGTATGTGACTCGAGATGTAATGGAGATGAATTGAAGCCCAGAAAATGTTTGTTTTTTTTGTCTACGCCATCTTTTGTGGTTGCACGCAAGACCGTCCAAATATGTGAACCGGGGCGAAACCTGATTGGAGCACATCTCTACAGCATCATCGGTATGTTGGCTGAAGGGCAGGCTGTATTGTGCTTAAAGTCACAATGCCATAATCATTGCATGATAATTAGGAACAAAAACACTAATTTGCAAAATTATAATGGTTCTGGAATTTCTTGATGATCTGTTTGTACAGAGCACGAGCCATTATTACAACGAACCACAATCACAAACGACGAATTAAAGGTCATTACATAAAAGCTGCATCAAAACAAAGTGCGTGGAATTCAAGTTATTCGGTGCCATCGAAAACTGCTTTGTGAGAACATCATCCGAAACGTGAGCTATGTGACGGTCTGCACGAACACAGACTTTTGGGAGTGTACTCGTGTGTGTGTGTGTGTGTGTGTGGGCTTTTGTGCAAACGGGTTGATGTATTTCTCTCTCGTGCCTCTACTCGTGTCACGAGCAGATGTCCAAAAAAAAAAAAAAATCCAGAGTCATTCCACTCAGGACTGCTCCTTGTTGGAAATCTCATGTGGCTTTACACTCAGGTGTTGACATCCTCTGAGGTCATGCACAAAGCCGGACAGTCCTGACCTTTTACACCACAACAACGTGTGTGTTTTTTAGTGTGTATCTGCTTCTATGTGTGTGATAAAAAGCTGGCATCACTTCATACAAGGACTCCTTCTCCCCCTGCCTCTGTACATCTCGATGAGTGGCTGGGATAGCCCCTATCTGGCCCTTTCATGCAATCCTCACTTTGAAGAAACACCTGCTCCCCCTCCACCACACCCTGCACGCCCCCTTCCCTGTTTCGTCAGTCTCACCAAACACAGCCTCTCTGCACCAGCTCCCGATAAGGGATATTGCTGTGAGATGACAAGTGTGAAGTGATTGCACGTGCACACACACAAAAAAAAACAATATTTTGGGGGTGGAGCAGCTGACAATGTCAGAAGCTCTTGCTTCAGAGGTTTCAGAGGTTTGTTTTCAGCTGGTGGGAAGAAAAAAAAAGCTGAAAGAACCTACAAAAGTGTGTAATTTGTCACAAAATAGATTTATATTTGAATGCAAACACTGTAATCGATTACCTGAAAAATACTGTGTAATGAGCCAAAACATGGTTAAAAAATCCAGTTAAAAGACCAGCAGTCTACACTGTAAAACATCCTGTTTGTCTCGGTTAAGGGAACTGGCTTGTCCTCTACAATCAAAGGTATTATTAAATTACCCATCCTGCCTGTCTAAAATTGTCCAGGCATGTTAAGACAGGCAGAAGGACGTGAAAGCGTGAAAAATTAACTCACCAAGGCAATTCCATTGAGTTAAATCAACTTTAAAATTTAGTTTAAAAATACTTGAGTTCCTTGAAGACGGAGCAAAAAGATGGTGACCCATACCTGGGCAGGCCGAAGCCAGGGGAAGCTCTGGTGGAGGCCCACTGCGGTCCTGACGTGCAAATCGGTTGTCCAACCTGGGTACAGGGGCGAAAGACTAACCGAACCATCTAGTAGCTGGAAGATGAAACCACATTCACACCTAGCCACGAAAGACCCTAAGGAAGCCCTTTGTGGCAGGAAGAGCACTAACGACCCACATAATTAGGGGGAGGAGCAACAAACCCCCAATTGAAACCAGAACTCAGGGGTTAATGGAAGCTGGGAGATCCAGATGCTTATATCCTAAGGAGCCATTAATCCTTATACGTATCTGGATCTCCCAACCAGTCCGTCAGAACTGATGAAGCCTCTAGGATGAGAGGTGAAATGTCTTCAAGGACTCAAGCAAGTCCAGTTCCTACGATCAATCTACCAGAAGAACACAAATGTCTAATCATGAAAAGACACTTAAAGTAACAGAAATTTAAAAAAAAATAATAATTAATTAGTAATAAAGCTATTATGTTGTTAGATTTTACTTACTGACTCATTTTATGTGTTTATTGCATCACTGGTGTAGCTGGTTATGACTTTATTAGTTGCTTGGAAGTTTGTAGTTTTGGCCCCATAAAATTCAACCCTGATCTAATGATACTACACATCCCATGTGGTAAATATAGCATCTTCAGAATAAGTTTGTCAAGTGAAAGTGGAATAATTGCCTCTGACTTGCAGTAGAAGAATAAAGCAGCTGACTACAAAGTACATCCACTCAGTTATTTCACAGTATGGGCAAAAAAAAGAAAAGAAAAAAAAAAACAGAGCAACACCTAACATGTCATGTAAGAATTGTTTCCATGTCAGATGCCTTTCATCCAGTTCTGCTGCATTCTGCTGCATCGTGTGAGTGAGATGCTCATCCAGGACGAGCCGCTGCTGCTGCTGCTGCTGTCTGCATCCACCCATCAGGCTCCGCCCCTTTTTCTTCCTCTCAGCATAAAAGGTCGGCTCCGGAGCAGAGGAGGCAGGTGATCACCGGACTGAAGGTCAGGACAGCCACTCACTATTCATCCAGCCATGGCAGCAGAGCAGCGCTACGTGATCAGCGCCCGCATTATCGGAGGAGTGCACCGGGACGCACCGAAACTCAAGGTGGGTCAGAACCTCAGACGGTATTTTAGAATTATTGTTATTGTGAATATTTCACTCGATGATTTGAAAGTAGATAGATTTTTTTTTAAACATTTTTTTTATTGTCTTCTAACCCACAGATGTTCATGGTGTCTGTGCTGTGGTCTGATGAGGCTGAAGTGATCATCTACAGGTCCTTCCAAGATTTCAAGAAGTTTCATGTAAGTCAAATTGAGAGACGCCAGAAGTTCTGTGTAAAAAAGATTGGATTTAGCTTCAACCTGTCCTCATCCTACTGAGACTGATACTAAATATATGGATGTGTTTTTTTTTAATAGGGGCAGCTGAAGAAGAGGTTCCCTCACATGAATCCTTTTCGCAAAAATGAAAGAGTGATTCCTAAGTTCAGAGGTAAGATCAAGTGTTTCCAATGTGAATCAGATCAAATGAAAGAAATTGTAAAGCCTTGCTGAAAACTAAAACTGTTGTATATCTTTTGAAATGTAGTTTATTTGCTGCTGATCATCTCATAAACTCAATAATTTAACCTAAATGACTTTTTTTAATTAGTAAAACTCAAATGTTACTCAGCTACTCATGTTCATCTTTTATAGCTGTTGTATTAATGTTTTTAAAACGTTTCCTCATCCCAGGTAAGGCCAGGAGGAGCAGCATGCAGCAGAAAGGCTCCAAGAAGTCTGTGAGGCGGATGAAGTTCCTGGAGAGCTACTGCGACCAGCTGCTGAAGTGCGACCAAACCGTGACCCGGAGCGCCGAGGTCATGCGCTTCTTCACGCCCAAAGACCACGACCTGCAGCCGGACTTCACCAAGAACAGGTGGGTTTTCAGCTCAGCAGTGAATCATGTGGATTTTGGTGAGACTTCCTTCCTGGCGACTAATCAAACAACACAACTCGTCCGTCACACAGCGTCATGATCCTGATGTCCGAAGATGGTTCAGGCGGCGGCGGAGGAGGTGGAGGTGTTTCCCACCTGCAGACAGGCAACGTCACTCACCCATTCGTCACCCAGACGTACCGCTGTGTGGCCGCTTACGAGACCAAAGACACCAAGAACCGGGCGTTCAAGGTGGCCGTGGACGAGAAGCTGGACGTCCTGATCAAAGACCCCGCAGGTCAGTGCTTCAGCTTTCATGCAACGCACCTAAATCTCCAGTTACAAACATGCATTTTTCTCATTGCTCATTTGTGTCTTTTCTTGTGCAGGTTGGTGGCTGGTGGAGAATGAAGACAAGCGCCTGGCTTGGTTTCCTGCTCCCTACCTGGAGTTACTGGAAGGAGAGGATGATGATGATGACGAAGCGGGGTTGCCGTCAGGAGGTGCGATATTTACTAGTTAGATTGTAAATTGAAAAGCATCAATTGGAAACATATTTATCACACAGATAAGCTACCGTGTGAATGAGTGAGTGCACTGATAACATATCACTGACGCCTAGTTGTTACAAACAGCCAACACTAGGGAGCTCCCTTTCATCAGAAGTGCCTGCTTCGTTGTTAAATCCTTCTCTGTCTGCTGTTTCCTGTAGCTGCTCTGTACTGCGCCGTCAAGAGTTACTCGACCACGAAGGCTGACGAGGTGTCTGTGTCCATCGGCTCTGTGGTGGAGGTGCTGAGGAAGTCTGACAACGGCTGGTGGCTCATCAGGTATCACAATCTTGTCTGTCTGCAAGAAGAGAATAAGGAAATTTGAAGCCTTTTTCAGTGCTTCATCGTCACAAAGTCCCATTGTTTAGAGAGCAAGAAAAAGTGTCTCAGCGCAATATGACTACATGTCAAATTTTGGATCTTAATTCAGTTTACATAGTGTTTATTGTAAATAACTTATTTTTTCCTTCTCATCTTCTAGAGTCAACAATAGGGCAGGTTACATCCCCTCCATGTACCTGCAGCCCTACAACAACCCACGTGCAGGCCTTCACAGTCTGAACAGGAAGCTGCACAGCTCCTCACTCAACCTGGCACCCAGCCGGGATCCTCAGACCCCTCATCCAGCCCGCATCAGTGAAGAATACAGCCCTCAGGAGGATCGTGCAGGTCCATCCAGACCCGAGCTCATCCTCCCCGGCCGCCTCCACAAGGCCCAGTCCCTGGATGTTCTTTCTGATTCCTGGGTGCAGACACAAACAAAGAGGGACACCTCGACCCCGGAGACCCGCGAGCGCAGCATGAGCAACGCCAGCATCGAGTCCAGCTTCTCCGACTTCTCAAGCCAAGATTCGTCCTCGAGCCTGAAAGAGGAGAACCAGAGCGGCTCAGAGCGTCCCACCACCTCCCAGCAGGCTGATGCCAGCGACAGCTCACGCAGCAGCCCCGACCTCAGCCGCAGCTCCAGCACCAGCTCAGACAGCGAGACGGCCGCGGTCACTCCCAGGGTGCCGCCTCGACCCAAGACCCAGGAGATCCTGAACCGCTGCACCACCATGACCCGCAAAGCAGCCATGGCCACCAAGACCCGGCTCCAGATTCAACCAGACACCATCCACAGCCGCCTGTAAACCCAACGGACCAGGACTACACACTACGTATCCTGGACTATTCTTAATCAATTCTTTTTATTCATTTTATGCACATGATATAATATTTTTAACCTCTTCAACACCACAGTCAAATGTGTTTTGTGCAGCATTTAGCAACCTGAACAGGACAAATATTATTTGAATTCCATGAAATTTCCATTTCATCAAATGGAATATGGCATCTTAAGTTTGAATATTTCACTCACTATAAGAAAAATGTAGCTTCAGTGAAGCATTAAAGGGAGCAAGTGCAAAGAAATGTATGTGACATGCAGTCACACAGAGGTACAAAGAAATATTATTTAAAGATTTGCACTTGCAAGAAAATTTAAATAGATTGTTGGAGTTGAAGAGGTTAGAATTTGACACTTTACATATTTAGTATTTCCCTGTTTCATATTTAACATAGAAATTAGTGGAGGGCTACAACTTATGAACTGTTTTATAAAAGATGTTTTTTTTGCTTCATCATTCAAGCTGTATTTAAATATATATATCACAAATGTAAATAGTTTCTCCGAATGCAAATGAAGTTATGAAAAAGGTTGTGAAGATGCAACGAAAAACACTGAATGCCAACATGAAGACCTTTTGATCGACCGCCAAAATCAGGGCACTGAAACGTGACGAGCTCGTTAAACAAGCTGTCAGCAAACTGAAACAGATGACTTACGAGCATCCTGCCAAAACATGTTCTTCTTCTCTAATAACATTCTTTTTTCCTTTGACTTTTTGTATGAATGTGTTGTTATGTACATCATATGTTCATCCTAACCTGTATGAGTTCACAGTGTACCTTTACGAGATCTTAAAAATCAATAAAAGGCTATTTAACGAAACGCCTGTCGCGCTTGAGTGTTCTGTAAATAGAGTCTGTGTGTGTTTGGGTGCTAATGGGTTTTCTGGTATTCCTACATCAAGAGAGAAGCCAGACAGAGAGAGCAGCACCAACATGTTCCTATACATAAGTTAATAGTTGTCCTCAGTCTTTGTTGGCTTACTCTGTGCTGCAAAAAATCAAGTAGAAACACAAGAAAGAATGAGTAAAACTGCAGCTAAATGAACACAAGAAATCAGAAAATGAATACACACAACATAACTTTCTGTAACAGTTTGGTAGAAGGTGTGTGCATAAGATGACACTGTCATAACAATGACATGATACCTGTCACCACGTCATGTCAAGCAGCCTTTACGAATGGCACTGCATATCATTGATAATCCAAAGTGGGCATTATGGAGATCAATTTGTTATGACAACTTGACAACATATCCGTCTGTGTTATGACAACAAGCGTTAACCACAAACCTTTGTAACGACATTCATCCGTTAGGTATGTCATTAATGTCAAGTGTCTGTCAACAACTTAGAGGAGATGTGGGACTCAAAAGAAAACATTAAAATTTAGGGCATACCAGGGCGACTTTCTTCAAGATGGGACGTTGGCAGTGGCCTCAGGGAGCATCTAGTTGACATAATGCCTCCATAGCTCCTACTCTTACCGTCACAACTAAACTCCAACTTTAACCAAATAGTTTGATTAAATTTGATAGGTAGGCCCAATATGTGATGTTTCTAACAGGTTGTTTTCTCTTGTTGACGTTTACATACCAGTTCTCTTACTAGCAAGTTATCCAAACCCTTGGGATTCTTGATTAAAAAGGTGCAATCATCCTTTGCCACAACTTTAAATGAAAGTCCAATCTGCAAAGTTCCCATGATGGATGTTATGCTAGAGCAGGTAAACATAAGGTGCAATATGGAGGAAAACCATACAGAACCCTATAAGGTGAAGGACCTCTCAGTTTGTCCATTAAACGCCTAAAAACTCGTCTTTGTGTGTCGAGATTACATTTCCTATGAAAAAAGTCGCTTTGTACCTAAAAATAGCAGACATGTAACTTTATATAATCGGGTCAGATCGTATCTGTTCAGACTACAGGAAAAAAATTTGCTGCATCATCTTAGATTTTATTTTTTCATGGTTGAATTAGTTATTGTTTTAAGAGTTTCATGCATTGTCGGAACTGGGAATATTTCTATTTCCCCCCTGAAAAACACAAAAGAAGTCTTACCTGCGAAGCCATATCTGTGGTTTAATATCTCCCAAAGCTATTAAATTACCTGACATAACAGATACAATTATTTCCGGCAGATCCACATGACTGAACGGATTAAGCAGAGGATGAATTTCTACTTCTTGACGCTTTACAAAAGGAGCATTTTGTTTAAACCAGGGTAGTTTTCAGCAGAAAGTTCTTGTAAGTGTATATATGTATGGATGTAGCCATATTTCCTAGTAAAAATATAGTCCTTGGTTGTCACCAAATTAAAAGGCCTCTAGAATCAGTAGAGTTTGACATTTGGCAAACATGGCAAGCCACGGCCCAGTTTTTTGCTAGATTGATGTGTCACAATGAGGATGTGGATTCAGTCGTAGGATCACAAAAACTGGTGTGCATAGGGGACGATATATTGTCTTTAAATACGTAAAGTTACAAGTTGCTTCCATGTTGTCTTCATGTTGAACTTTAACAACATATGAGGCTTGTTTTGCTTTACTAAATGTTGACCCACCAGCTCACAACGCTGCTCCAACACTGTAAAACTACACTACATAATCACATCTGATATCAAGGTGCACACTTGAGCCGTTAACCAATACTGAAGAAGAGCAATGACACCAAAGGCCTGACCCTGGAAGTTGAAAAGGTTGGTGTCTTCGGTTTACATGTATGAAACCCAAGATTTCTGAGTCTGTGTTTTTGAGACTGTCATTGTTACGCTGCAGTTTAAAGGAGGAAATTCTCAGCCACATAGCTAACTGCTCATTTCGCTCATGATGCAAAAAAAACCAAAACACCAGAGGGGGTCTTTAACAGTTAATGGGACAAATCAAAAATGGGAAATGCTTTTATAATATCTGCTTATGGTGCATGGTACTTTGGCTTTCATTATAATGCATTGCAATTATACACATCAAAAATGGCTGAGGAATTCAATACTGTTAAGGCATCCTATGAAGGGATGATCTTACTTTTGAAATGTTCCTTAGATGGAGAAAATTTGAGTTTTGCTCATGCTCAAGTGTGAGCCAAAACCAGTTCCCTGAGGTTTACACCGAAGGGATCAATAAAGTTTTATTCTATTCTATTCTTCTAATAGAGGTCTTTCAAACTCGTTTACTTACATAACAAATTGAACTTGAATTGAAATCAGTCAGAGCAGATTAACTAACTGACAGCTTTAAGCCTTAATTTCTTTGTCATGAGGTGTGTGTAATGTCAGGGCAGATTTGTGTGCTAAAAACAACTTCTCAGTGGTGTCCGCTGACTTATGTGCATGCTAAGGTTTCATGTCAGTCGCTCGCATTCCAGAAGAACGAGAGCATCTTGTCGGACCTGCTTTCATCCAAATATCTGTCACAGAGGAGGCTCAGACAAAGAGTCTCTATTAAAGAATAGGACAAAGTGACTAACCTACTCCACATACAATACAGTTATATAACGTTGACGAGAATAAGTAGGTAGACGAGCAGAAAAGGAAATAGATGGTGGTTTGATGGAGGAAGTGGCCCATATAAAAGAACTCTGATTACCTCATTAGCGGCAAGTGAGTTCTGGTCAGGAAACAAAACTATAAACTTGGCTTGATGCTGAGATCAAAGCTGCAAAGAGAATAGAAGGTCTGAAGTTCATTGTTGTTACGATGAAATAGTTCTGATGCTGAAGTCATGGATGTTTTCTTAAGGGATGTCATCATGCCATTGTCAGGTACAATGCAGTGAATGTCCACCAATCAGCCGCCACATTAAAGTCAAGTAAACAGTGTTTTGGCCTTTGACGTCAAAGTTACTAACACATTCAATTATCTTTTAAAAAAATAAACAACAAAACCAGGGCTGTAAGGTGGCACAGTTGGTAGCCTCGCAGCAAGAAGGTGGTCATTTCCACATCAAGACCTGTGGGGGTGTTCTTTGGTGTCTAGGTTCTAACAGTGGGTTCCTTTGGGTTGTGGGGCGTCTGTGGTTCAGGCTTGTTCCATCCTGCAGATGTTCGATCAGATTGGGAGTTTTGTGGAGTCTGTAGGTGATGTAATGCTGTGGTTTACACCGCACAAGAAGGCTCTGGGTTTGAACCTGTTGCTGTGCCTGTTTTCTTCTGGCTTCCTCCCAAGATATGCAACCACAACACCAGCAACCAAAACATTATTTATATAGCACCTTTCAAAAACAAAGCCACAAATGCAGATGGCAGGAAACAGATAATCAAATAACAGAATATCCAAATCTTACAATATCACAAGATCAGTGAAAGAATAGGCAATAAAAACAAGTCTTAAGAAGAGATTTTAAAGAGGATACTGAGTTTGACCGATCATCTTTAGTGACAAGTTGAGGCTTTGGAACCATTCGTAGGACCCTGCTGGAGGATTTCAAGCTCATAGGGAGTTGGCGATCACAGATATAGACAAGAGCCGGACCTTTCAAGGCTTTAAAAACAAACAGTAAAATCTCAAAATCAGTTCTAAAACTCATCAGTAACCAGTTAAGGCAGCTGGGATTAGAGTAATGCGGTCGCTTCTCTTGGTATGTGTTTAAAGTGTTGTTGAAGCATTTACTGCAGTCTTTGGATGTTTTGCATGCTGATGCCAGAATATGATGCTTTACAGTAGTCATGTTTTAGAGACGAAAGCATGGAGGGCCTCTTCAAAGTGTGGAGATGAGAGGAATGGCGTCATCTTAACCAGTTGTCCCAGTTGGACAAAACAAGACTTTGATCACCTGAGAATTACATCCATCCATCATCTATACACCGCTTAATCCTCACTAGGGTCATGGGGGGCTGGAGTCTATCCCAGCTGACT